ATTTTTTTGATAACAACTTAATTTATTCACTTATTATTGTAATGAAACGATTATACTGTTATCATATAAATATAAAATTTCACACATGATTGTGCATTTAAAATATTAAATACACGTTAGGCAACAATAATTGAACGACCTATTATCAATTATAAGTATTTAATATGTAATATGTTGTAGGTATTCATTATAATACGTACTCATAAAAGAAAATATATCAAAGTAATATTGTATAAATATTATGAGTTATGATCTAAGATAAATATAATTTGTATGAATTAATAATTTTGAAAAACGTACAAATGATATTAAAGTATAAATTTAGGTAATAAATAAACCAGTAAGGTTGTAGTACACTGCTATTTTTAATTAGTTAGTTAAAATTGATCAACAACTTAGTTTTCTCGAATTAATTAAAAATTAATAAATTCATTGAAAATGAATGTATATCTGTAAGAATATTTAAGATTAAAATAGAAAGTTCAAAAAACTAACAAAAGGTTTTATTAAACTTAAAAAGAGTTAAACATTTTATTTTGATGCTTCAGTGAGCAATATTTACAATATTATAGTAATTTCGCTACCCCAAAAGAACGGAAATGAATTGTTAATCAAATATTGCATCAGTATGTTCGCTACGAGAAAAGTTTTGAATAAAGTCAATCATTGAAAAATACAGATTCTTATTAATAATTTTAAATCCCATTGAAAATTGCATTTATAATAAATTCATCTTTAAACCTAATACTGTAGGTATAACAATCGCGTCCTGTAAGTAGTGAGATGTTCTATTTTTGCTAATAGATAAATACATTTTATAATTGTGTTAATAATTGTTAAAAAAGGAATACACAAAAAAAAGGTATACACAAAGGTACTAACATTTTTTTCGCCCACCCATAAATAATTGATTTGACGATGCCCCTGAGGTATAATATAGCCCTTAATTCATAATGGATATGTTTTTAGCAAATAGTGTTATTATAACATTCTAATAATAGGTATAGCCACATTAGAATATTTAATTTAATAATTACATATTGAAATCTCAATTATTAGTACTAATAATATAATGATCTCGGGCTTCTTATACTATAGTCTATAACTAATGACACGTAATATATTATGAGGTGTGATTAGTTTAAAACTATTGGGCCATTATATTATTTGTTTATAAAAGTATGTATAAAATACATTTATTACTTATCAACATATGTTAAATGTATGAACGTAACATGTTCAAATCTAAAATAAAATTGCTTTCCTGTTTAAATAAATCAAAATCTCAACTCGTTTAAATCACATTCGTTATAGCATATACGAAATATTTATGGTTTTAACATTTGCAATATATTAATGAATAATTTAATGTAGGATGCTGCAGTATTTCTGCACTCAAGACAGATCCGCAATGTAAGTGCTATAACCGTGTAGTAGGTAGGTACCTTACTTGGTGCGTGTATCATGTTCCTCGTGGGAGTGGACGATTTTAATCAGAACGTTTTATTTTCTCAACTCAAGAAGTTACAATTTATCGAGCTGACTTTAATCATATTATACTGTGCTACACAAAAATTGTGTAATTTATTTTATAACCAAACTTTTTTCAAGATCGTGATACTCATACAATATCGAGCTATTATATTTAGAAATTTATATACAAGTAAGACGATAAAGATATTATTATAAACATGTCTTAAGATTGTTTTAAATTGCAATTTCAGACTTGACTAGGATATTATTGCATTTAATTAAACATAAAAAAGTTTTAACTTATATATTATATTGTATCTACATATATACAAAGTGTAATCAAAATAAGTTCAAATAAAAAATAAGACTTACAAGAAGAGTTTATTTATTGTTGAAATATTTTATAAAATACAAAATGTTTTAAATTTAAATGCAGTAGTACATTAGTAATGCACAATAAGATTTTGTCTAAAAATATATATATATTCAATAAAGTATTCAAAATATATGAATCTTATAACTTATAAATTTACTAGTACCTACTAAATAATAATATGCAGTTTTGATCTGTTTATAGGTCAAATTGTAAAACTTATAAAAGTTATTAGTAATTATAATTTCTATTTGGATGACCTTTTTAAAAAATATTATTTTTTTATATTATTCAATGACATCTACGACCCATATATGATATATATTATATATATATACATATATTATATAATGTTAATTTATACTATGAATTATAATATAACTATGGAATAAAACATAAGGCAAAAAAATTACCTGATAACATACTTAATAATATGTAATTATTACTATCATGGTTACTTGTATATTATGTTAAAATATACATATTTTTTTTGTTGAAAATTAATTCGCAACCTAGTGTTTATATAAGTAATTTTTTTTTTTTTTTTTTGAAATCATCATCTTTGCTTGTTACTACCTACTTATTTTAAACAAATTTAATTTCTTAAGTGATGTGTTTGTTATTGTATACAATATTATACAAGTACCTACGCAATATTGTGCTTGTACTTTCCAAATATCTAATTAATTATTAAAACAATGTTGCTAATAGTAATGAAAAATAAAAATAACCAATTAATCTAATTTATATACAACACTTCCTATCAAGAAAATTCGAATTATTAGTACCTATTTTATGGACTTGAATATTTACCCCGATCATTTAATAAATTATTTCTCATACTACTTATATAAGATATTGTGTTATAGGCAGTAAAATCGTAATCCCAATTAATTTGTAATTAAGTCGTAACACTAATGATTAGTGAACATAAGACGGGAACGTTGCCAAAATTTAATTTCATGGAGTCCATTCGAAAACTATTGATTAAACTTTTCAGTGCCAAACATTTAGCATTATGTACCTATTATAATAATATATAATAATATTTAAATTTGATAATACTAACGTGATTAATCATATAGTATATTATATACGAAAACATAACGAAGACAAACTTAAAATCCCGTAGTTATCGTAAATATTGCAATAATAAATTTGCTGAAGAGGTTGGTTTTTGTTCTGTGATATTGAATAAAGTACAAATAAAATAGAGGTTGGTAAGGTAAACAAATAATTATTACTGTGGGATGATAAATATAATATATATAAACAATAGTAATATTGTTTTAAAAGAAACTGCCAAACTGAGCTACTGATGTTTTCTTCAATTTCGGCAAAGTTCCTTTTGTACTACTATATATTGGGTATATATGTACCGTTATACACGGTGAAAAGCGGGATACTCAGTGGGTTTGCTAGGTCATTAAATATTAATCTAAGTTGAATATTTTTACTTTATACATCATAACCACCTCTTAACATTATATTATATCATTAGTCTAAAATAATGGTGCAGGATGCATGGGCTTACAAGGTATAACATATTTTTATAGATATAATTATTTATTTCCGTATAGTATAGGGCATAATATGGTATATATTTTTTCAAGTTTATTATCGTGTCAGCCGAAATGAAATGTCGAGGAAAAACGATTTGAGGTGGTATTTAGGCCGCAGCTAAAAAAATGTTTGGACGTCATAATAATGGGTATATAATATTATATGCCCTCTAAGATATTGATTCTTATATTATGTGTGCTACGACGGCGGCGTCGGCGGCGGTGTGGCGTCGGTGACGACGGTTAAATGGTAAGTTGCATGTGGTGCCCAACTAAAACCGTTATATATATATAGCATTTGTTTTTAATTTAATTTTTACTACCATTATGCAACAAAAGTCGAAAGGCGGCGAGAAAACCACGTGCAGCGGTCGAAATTCCGCGCAATATAAACGAAGTGTTTTTTAAAGAATCCACTTGGTATATAGAAACCGGAGCTCGAACAGATAAGCTTCTAACACTCTCCTTCATAGATAATTGATGACACAATAAAAAATAATTATCTAGCTCAAAAATTTTATTCTGAATCGAATAATATTCAGAAATAACAGGATATTATAGTCTCAGAGGTTGTGTAGAATATAGGGTACCACGTTCCGTTCGATATACGAATAATATACGAAGACAAATATTGTATTGTTGTTATTATAATAATAATAATAATAATTATTATTATTATTATTATTGTTATTATTATTATTACAAGCAGCAGTATTATGTACGCATATACTTACTCCGTTACTCGTCGGGTCAAGATCCGAGTGAAGGGGGTTTTATGGTGGAAGGGTGTACTCAATACGCTTCTATGGTGCAATATTATAATAGAGGATGAAAAAATTTAAACGAAACAAAACAATAGTACCTAACCAGTAACCACAATATAATACAGTTATTATAGGTACCTTTATAATATTATATTCGTATATTATGATTTATGATGGTACCTATTAGTAGTATAGTTGTATACACGATTAACGTATAGGATCCCTGGACTGTCAAGTGAAGTATTTGTACGATTGTGCATAAGAATCGTATGTGAAGATACAATATCACACAACAATAATACCTATACACAACATTATAATAACGCGGGCGTGAAGAGTCCATATTGATGATAATAAAATATAATAACAATTAATAACAATAATTATTATTCATACACATACGACTCGTATACAACTCATAACACACGACTATAATAATATGATGACAGTTTAGGGTAGGCATGTCAGGCAGTTGTGATACTAGAAGGTATCCTAATTAGTTGGACCGTATGTTCTATCACCATCATGCATGTACCATGCAGATAATCTATAGATCACAATATGATTCTAAAGTTTTATCGAATATACGATAATTATTATTGATTCTATATAAAAGTATAGGGTAACGTTTTTTTTTTACCAATTCGACCGACATATATTATATCACTCATCTCCTGTACCCACGTTCCACCAGAAATAGGAGTCTCCCCGAGCTAAGGTCTAACCGAGCGATTTCTTCAAAAAAATATTCCCATAAACCTAATATACCATATAGGAATCGTGTTATAGTCGTTCATAGTGAAGAGGGAGGGAGAAAGATCAAAATGTATGCTAAAAATAGAAAAAAAACCCCTACCCCGGTGTCCGTCGATTGGGGTGGCTGTGGGCGGCTCGATCTCATGGCCGGCGGCCGCCGCGTTGTCGGGCGTCGCGGACATGGACGCCGGTGGTGGGTTGACGGGATCGCAGCACTCGCGTTCGGGGTACTCGCTGGCCACCGCCGCACCGGCAGCAGCGACCAACAGCAGCCATGCGGCCGCGAACATGACGGCTGCTGCAGTGCGGCTATCGCTTGTTCACCACTTGCCCGGCACCGGACGACCACGCGGTTCCATAAAACGTCGTCGTCTCCTCTCTGCGATTCTTGAGAAGGTCCTCGATCACGTGTTCTTCTCACTCACCGCCATCGTCGTCGCCGTCGCCACCGCCGAAGAAACTGTCACAGCTGTATTGCCCTATCGACCGGCGGTGCAGTGATCGAAATAATATTATAATACAATATTATGCTTCTCGAGAGAAAATTATTATTCTTAGAACAACTGAACCAGTGCAAAATATTATAATATAAATGACACGGAAATAACACGATTCGACGGTTATAATATTATTTTACTACGACGATGATGATGATGATGATGATGATGACGACGACGACGACGACAACCACGACTACGACTACGATCCCGTGCCCCGCTGGCGGCGATCCGACGACACGCTGGCCGGGTGGTTTTCGATTTGTTGTTCGCGCGCGGCGCCCGAAGTACGACTGACAAAAGTCCCGCGGTGCTTTTGACGGTGTGTGGAAATGCGTGTACGCGCACACGCGGTCGCGCACACGCAAACTTTTCGTGAGCGCCCTTCGTTGGTGGCAAAGGCGGAGGGCCGGCTGGAGGGTGATCCATTTAACACGCTACACCCGTTTTCTCCGTCGATTTTTAAGATTTCGAACGTATTCTCTCACCCCCTCGTCGGCGCCACACCCCCCGCCCCGACGTTTACGTTCATTTACTTATTATCGTCCGTCGTCGTACCTCGCTCGCGTTTTCGCAACTGAACAACTACAATGAAAACAATTAAATAATAAATAACAATAAAATAAACCGACTGTTCGAAGTGTGATATTATAATATACTCGGGTTTTGTGCCATTTTCGGTTTGAAAAGTTCGGAACTCAATTTTCGTTAGGTATATTCGTTACACGTGCATCATATTATCATTACTATTGGTATAGAAAACATATAAGTAATATTACTATTATAGTATTATGTGCGAAAAAAATAAATATATTATGACTACTATTATAATTTAACACTTTTTTTTTCACTGATAATCGAATTAATAACTAATATATTTTTATTTTTAAAGATAACAATGTACATTTCTTTGCTTTGAAATAGATTTATCAAGTATTTTATGTTAGGAAAATGTACACATAGTAATCGTTATAATCATTCATTGGATATTATATTTGATACTAATTCAACTATAAAAAAAAAAAATGACTTATTAAATAATATAATATTACAGTTTTATTCTTTGGTCTCCGATGAATATATAGTCTTAAAAAAGTAATTCTTAAAAGAGTAATTTACAAATATGATTCTTAGAAGTATCGTGTTACATGATTCATGTATCTTGTATTTATTATATTATAACTAAAATAAAGGTACTGTTGTACACATTATATATCAAAATATTCTTTTTCGGTAGACATCTTACCCATTTTTAAAGTTCCATACTCTTGATTGTAAATCTCAATTATGTAATACGGTAATTTGTTACTATAACTCGGAATTGTGTTCTTCTAAGAAATGAAAATAGAAAATATTTATAACAATAAATTGGTATTATACCATCATATTATTCACAGCACAACAAACTTCACCTGGAAAATGAACAGAAAATAGGAATTACTTCTTGTGGGTAATTCATAGTTTCGTAGGTACTTCTGTCAATTTTTGATTGCATTGTATAAACGGTTTTTATACTCTTCTATTTTGAGCACAACTTGATAATTCTTCAGCAAACAATTCGTTGTTAACATTGTATTTATGTTGTGTTTTTGTATTACCTGTGACAGGTAGGTACAGTCAGCTTCCATTTTATAATTTTCTTCAAATAAGACTACGAAATTGAAAACTTAAAATAATATTGATAGGTACCTATATTTATTACAACCAATGATTTACTTTCTGAATCTAACTAATCCGACGGTTATCATGGATAATAATAATATAATATTCACTATATTAGATCGTATATTCGGTTTACTTAAATGCCGTCGTCGTTATTATAGTTTTCCCAGCGCACAGTCATTGTATTTGTCAATATAATATAAAACTTTCCCGCAGTTATCTGCATTGATTGTTTAGTGGTATAATGTTCGACCTATCCCAATAGTATATATTAAGCGGCGACCAGCAGCAGCACGCCAGGATACAAAACTAGACGGTCCCGTCTGGGTTGCGGTAGACACTAAAGTATATACTATATATGTATATTATAGGTATATATATATATCATTATTATATCGCCGTCGGAGATCGCGTGACCTTCCCCTTGGCCACCATCCCACCACCCCCCGGCAGACATTATAATCCCTTCGACTCTTAAACAGATTAGTGCGTATCAATTAGCATTAAGACTTAAGAGAGAGACAGAGACAGATGCAGAAACAGAGGAGTGTGTTGGAGCGAGACCCACGATGAAACGCAATGAATACTAATCGCTAACACCGTGACCGGGGAAATTATATTATTATGCGTTTATTTTTCTTTTCTCTCTTTTCCGCGGCCCGACGATTATGTACACAAAATCTACCCTCACCTTATATATATATATATTATATAATATCATTTTTATATTATTGTAATACTCGCTGCCGGGCCGGAACAAACGAAATGTTTTTTTCGGATTTATTATTATTATGAGCGGGCAGTTCAACCGTCGTCTGCAAATTATATTATAATGTATCCAAGTTTTTGCGTACGCTACATTATATTATGTAAATTTTTTTATGACCAAGGAATATTATATACAGGGTGAACCATTTACACTCAAAAAATCCATTTTTTCGTTAAAAATTAGAGGGTATTAAAATATCCTTTTAATAAAACACTCTGAAATCCTTACAAATCAGAGTACCAACTAGATTAAATTGGCTACAAGAAACCACCCTCAAGGTCAAAAATTTTAAAAATTCCACTGCTCTTAAATGTGATGATAGAGATATAAAATACATTTTCATTATTTTAATCATAACCGTTTCGGTCAGAATCTAAAAAATAATCAACTCAAGTTTAAAAAAAAATTATCTTACGTTATGTGGGCGTACGCCTTCTTCTTAACTAAATTAGTGTTATTGTTATGTGGTGTACTTTTATTAATTTTATACCTTGTTGCATGTATATTAAATACTCACATTACAATAAAAAGAGTGAAAATATTTTCACAATTAGTTAATTTGAATTCACTAATAATTGTTAACACGATTAATATACCTTTTCACTGCTGTAGTTCAAACACAAACCCTTTAATATATTGTGTGTCATTTACCGTCTGACCCGAGACACCTGAGTCGACACTCAGTAATCAATCCCACCTCCACTCAATATTTACTCAAGCGCCATTAAATATGTAATGTACACAATAACGTTTTTTAAGAATAAATATTTTAACGAAAAAAATATTTCAGTTTAATAGCAGCAAATTGTATATTTAGATAGTTTATATGGATTGTGTATTATAATATATATAGGGTGATCCGGGGAAATTAGACAATTTAAAACAAAAACTAAGATATTAAAACAATTGTTTATTAATTTGAGATCCTCGACATAATAAATTAAAAATATTCACTGTTTAAAAATAATATCAGTTAAATATTTGACGTTCGTGCTGAATAATACACTCAGTCAGTCGATTTTTGAATTTTACATTGTTTTGCCCAGTGTGGAATGTTATATTGATTTCTTCACCGATCTGTCTTTTCAAAATCGGAAATGGTTATATTGCAAAACTGTAGACAATAAAAAATAAATCATTGACAGATTGGTCGGGGAAACGGAGTGGCCAATTAATGTCAGAACTCTTAACGCGGTTACTGAACGAACATCTTGATTGCTGCCATCGACACTCGGGGAGAGTGTGGGATTGGCTCTTCCTGTCAAAACCATATCTTTTCAACGTCCATGATCGGTAAACTTAATAGTTTTAGACCGGAAAACATTTCAACCATTGTGACATAATTTTTATAACTAGGCTACGTAGCATAGGCCCAACTAGGGGTAACATTCTGAGGGGCCACAGCCCACCAAACAAAACTATTTATTTAAAATAATCCATAGAGGGTTTATGTCTAAATCAATAAGGAATATTTTTTTTATTTTTTTTGGGGGGGGGCTAAATCGTAGTCAGGGGGGTTACACCCCATTAGTGTTGCCACTGTAGTTAGTAGTTAGTGTGACTGCAGGTTTAAAACTGCAGTAGGTACCATATTATCTATCTTCAAAAAAAAAAAAAAATACAGACGCACATTCGTTGACTTTATGAAAATGCAACGGACGATGTTAAAGCTGTTTAATATTTTTCTAAGCCTAATAACAAAAAGTTTGTTTATTAACATACCCATCTAGAACCTCCAACACCCTAACTAGATTTTTTTATCTTTTATTCGTGTTTGGTGATATTCTATTCGTATGTATTATGATGTTTTTATTATTATCGAAACATTAAATTTGTTTTAATTTTGTTTTATTTATCTAACAACGTGTTAACGTTAGGTAACCTTACCTAACCTAAAGTGAGCAATGATTTTGATTAAATATCATGTTGGCTAGTTAAATTTTCTCAGTCATCGTAGGAGTTTCTGTTTAAAATGTAACGTAAAACCGTAATAACTGGATAAAAAATTAAATAATATTACCTACCATAGTTCGCGTTAGAGAGAAGGACAACGGAGGATAAGCAGTAAAATTTAAACAAAATGAAAATATCTTCGAAAATATTATGTCATCTAATATTGCTATAATGGGAAAATATGTCTCCAAAAGAAATTATTTGTCGTCAAGATGTCGCTATGTGTAATTATATGAAAACTGATTGGAGATGAGGAGATTATAATGTTATATGTATAAAATGACATAAAATATCAATCATCATCTGTCGACTGTCACGTGGTCTGAAAGTCTTTAGAAATGTATTAGTATGACGGCACCAGGTTGTCAAGTGAAACGTTCGCTGTCTATAAAATACGTATATCGGTTAGATACACATTATAAAGCATAAATCTGGTTTAAAAGTTAAAATATGTTGTATTGAAAAATGTATTAAATAATATGTATGACATATTTTAAGGTGTTACATTATACATTAATCAATACATCAAAGTCAGACAAAAGTCAAGACTTATTTCGAGTGAGGGTTTAATTATGGGAAAAAATGAAGTGATCAAAATGTTCTCAATTTTTTTATTTTGT